GGACCTTCGGGTATTAAAACAACTAGTCATCGACGAAGGTCAGCATTTTCCGCTTGCTGTTCCTATCCTAAGCGATAATATTTACGTCGACGACTTACTTTTCGGAGCTGACGATACCATTCGAATTCGGCAAGCGCGCGATCAATTAAACTCTATGTTAAAGCGCGGCGGATTCGTATTACGGAAATGGGCGAGCAACTCGCCCTCTCTTCTCGAGGACATCGAAATCGCAGATCACGGTCTAGCCACGAACAAACCTCTGGCTGAAGACGAACAAATCAAAATCCTCGGAATTGGGTGGAATCCGAAAAACGATATTTTTGAGTTTTATTTAACGTATTTTTTTCGTTCTCAAAGGCGTTACATACGTTATTTGTTTTAAAAATAGGTGGCAACCCTAACTGGGGGTGCGCGCACCCACGATACGGTCTTGAGCGCGCTGCCTGCCGGCAATCGCGCGTGTTACCGCATAATTGACGCGATAGTACGCACCCCGTTTGCGCAGCCTTGAGCTTGGCCCCGAGGCATCGATTCTGGATCGCGTGGATCCCAGGATCAGACTGGCGCGGGCGTTTGTTCGATCGAGAGAATTTGCCATCAAGGGCGGAATAGAGAGACAGTGATCGTGCAGTTTTGACAAGCGGAGAGGACCCCGGCGACCGCTGCGAGAGGATTAGGACGGGAGGACATGGTTAGTCCCGCAGCCGCCACCGCAAGGGGTATGGTACCGGTGAAGTTATCCTCAGTCAAGTTAAGCCACGCGCGATCGCGGCCGGGATTGTGTCGCTCTGTCGTCGTCGCCGTGATTTCGTGCTTCAAAAGGACCGGCAGACCGGTGCTGTGGTGTACGGGCTGTGTCCCATTCTTTCGTGTAATTTTCGCGTCACGGTCACGTCGTCACAAGCGATCTGAGCCCTGGAGCCTCCGAAGCGACGGCCTCCACCGATTGAAATATCGAAATCGCGTATCGTCTCTCTGGAGATCCGAATTCCGCATGTCGCGAATGCATTGTTTCTCGCGCGCCTAGAGCGCAATTTTCGTTTGTATTGTAAGTCTGTCGTCTGCGTTTGAGTCGCGTATAAACATCTTTTCTTGTTGTAATTCGTCGCACTTCGAGAGTGAGTGTCCACTGTGCGTCCGTATCGCAAATAATTGCGTATGAACTGTGTGTCCGTATCGTTTGTCGCGTATGACTTTCGCGTCTGTATGTAATGAACATATGCGTTGCGTAATTTGCATGTTTGAATTAATCTGCGAATCATAGTATTTGGTGAAATTATCGCATAGCTAAGGCTATCGCACTCTTAAACGCGCAATCGCCCGAATCAAAGCAAAGCCGAAATAATTGTCGTTAGCGCGGTGCGAGGCGCATTTTGACACCGAGAGAGAATTACGACCGACGGAATGTGCTGACATCGGCGTAAATTTTCCGGAATTTTGTGCCCCGTAACTATCATCCAGTCTCGCCATCGAATCTCTATCGCTGCCGAAGAACGCACGGTCATCGTTATCATAAATTTCAGTAA